TAGAATAGAATAGAATAGAATAGAATAGAATAGAATAGAATAGAATAACTGAATTGGAAGGGACCTTGGAAGTCTTCTAGTCCAACCCCCTGTCTAGGCAGGAAACCCTACACCACTTCAGACAAATGCTTATCCAACATCTTTTTAAAAACTTCCAGTGTTAGAGAATTCACAACTTCTGGAGCTATGTCTCTCATCTTTCAAATAAATAATTCTTTTTATTTCAATTCTATAATATAGAATCAAAGGTCCCTGAATAGCAAAACAATATTTTTTTAAATAATAGGGTACCTCTAACAATTTAATACAAAACGTATCAGTTTTCCCCATGTCTAATTAAGCTACTACTGCTAATTCTCATGTCTCCAACTATATTTTTTAAATAGAGACCAACAGTCGTTGCCTTTTTTATAAAGGGTTCAACCTACAAAAGTCCATTTATCACTGTACAAAGTTACAATGGCACTGAAAAAAGTGACTTATGACTGATTTCACTCTTATGACCATTGCAGCACCCCCACGGTCATGTGTAAAAGTTCAGATGCTTGGCAATTTATGACTGTTGCACTGTCCCAAGGTCATGTGATCACCTTTTGCAAACTCCTGACTAGCAAAGTCAATTGTGGAAGCCAGATTCACTTAACAATTGTGTTACTAACTTAACAACTGCAGGGATTCACTTAACAAATGTGGCAAGAAAGCTTGTAAAATGTGGCAAAACTCACTTAACAAATGTCTTGCTTGGCAACAAAAATTGTGGTTGTAAGTCAAGGACTACCTGTATAGCCAATGTAATGATAAACTTTCAGATTACTAAGTGTTAGGAATATAAGTCACCTAACAGGTATTTGGGTTTGAAATATATAAACCAGGATAGACATTTTAATACTGTATCTTTAAGAAAATGCAAAAACTGTAATTGAGTGTGGTTTCTCAAATGGCCATAAGATGGAGCCAGAAACTTGGGTTGTTTTAGTCTTAGTCTCAGAAAAGTATGTCTCAGTGAGTCTCTTTTTCCTTCTGTTGGAGAGTATTGCTGTTCCTGTATTGACTGTTATTCTTGGATTTGATGTAAGTCTGATACTGAACTGTTTTTGAAACTGGACTTTGTTATTGGATTATCCCTGGACTGAAAACTGACTGATTTAACCATGAATGACTTTGGACTGCTTATCTTGAACTTTGCTTACATGTTTCTAGAAGTAAAAACTTACATTTACTGTACAGTTTATCTGTGTGCTGTGTGTGTATTATTCAAACACTGTTCTCACATATGTCTCCCTGTATGCGCTCATTCTCCTAACGGGGAATTACCTCATCACTAAGAATAAAGGAGATGATTAGTTTTGTTATTAGTGAAAATACTTACCTGTTGTCTTATCAACACAAAAGGAGAGAAAGTGTCACGCCCCTGTCGGAATCTGATTCTGAAGGGGAGGCTGAGCAGCTGACAGGGAGTGGGAGTGTGGCTCTGGTGGCTGTGGAAGAAACTGGGAAGGGCAAAGTCCGGCTGGGCAGAGCAGGGGAGAGATAGAGTAAGGCCAAGAGAATTCAGAGGAAGATGCAGACCCAACCCCTCTTCATCCGAGGCATGTGGGGAGGAACAGGGAAGGGAGCAACATGAGTTGCCTGGCTTATGGGGGAGGAAAGGGCCCTGATTGCCTTCATTAGTTGTAGCTGGGAATACAGTGTTTAAAAAGGAAGATTGTGCACAGCAACTTGTTGGAAGCAAATCGTGAGTTATCTTTTATTGTTGGGGCTTATCTAGGTTCCTGATGTCTTCCCAACTTCTTCTTCTTCTTCTTTTTCTTCAGCGTTTGTCTCGCGCTCGGGCGAGGTCCGCTAATGTCCTAGGTTCCTGATGTCTTCCCAACTATGTGTGTTTTATTGGCCTTTGAAGTCTACAATTCCTTATCCTGCCCTGTCCAGTTAATTGTTGCAGTGTGGTTTGTGTGGATTTTTATTTAGAGTTTATATGTACTTTGTTTTCAGACTGAATTTCCTCCACTTAAAGATCATTTTTGGGAGAGTTTTTTCTCCAGCCAAAGGTAACTGGACATTGCGGGCAAAGTTGGAGGTATTAAAGGGACTTTTCTTACTTATGTGACTGTGTTGCCTTTGTGCCACGCCCCGGGTGATCACAGAGAGAGAGAGAGAGAGAGAAACAGAGAGAATATGACTCTGCCATAATATTTGTTGGGATTTATTGACTATAGATTGAGAAGTTGTATTACTGTAACCTAACCCATTTTTTTAATAAAGTATTGCTAAAGAGACGGTGAGAATCATGCTGGGAAAAGAAATTACTTTGGCTTGAGGCAGAGGCCAAGGACCTTACAGCTAGATTATACAGAATAAATTAATGAAGGTAATATACTTTGCAAGCTTTGTAAAAGAAAAGTTGCTGTCAAAATTTTAGCATCTGTATTTAACAAAGCAATCAGGCTTGCATAGTCTACAGAAATTTTTCCTGGCTTTAATATTACAGTTATATCTGGAAGAGCAGTCTGCTTAGAAAAAAATACAGGCATTTGTGCTGCCTTTCCTCCCATACCCTCTGAATCTTTGTCCCAGTGTCAGCAGAACAGAGTTGCCAGTAAAATTGCAACCTTGAAACAGGTGTGGGAAAAGATGGGAGGAGAACAGAAGGGGGGGTGCATTTGGAACCTCTACAGTTACCAGCAGAGAAAAGCAGCCAACTAAAACCAGGTGTTTTTCCTTCAAAGGTAATGGATGGTCCAGAAGAAAAAGAAGTATAGGGGCCCAGCAAAGCAATTTTGCTTGGAGTTTGTCAGTCGAGGATTTTCAGATCCTGAGCCTAGACTTCCAGGGTCCCCTCCATCTTACTCCCAGGCATCCTACACTCTATATTTGAGTCTATGTTCACTTAATGACCCACACAATTGCTTAACGGATGCAAATGGGAGTATCAGAACTGCAGTTGTTAATCAAAGTAGTCAACTGGGCAATCACATGATATCTCACCCAGACTGACTGAGATTCTGGGATCAATTTATGGTTGCAAATTGAAGACTACCTATAACAGCAATAAGGAAATATTGTAGTAGTAATTCAATAGTAATATAAAAGAGCATAGCAATTATTATAGCAATAGTAATTAGCATAGTAACATAAAAAGAATAGCAACAGAATAGAATGTAAGATAGTGTAGGAGAAAAGCAAGTAGAGCTGGAGAGGGTAGAGTGAAGCATGATATCAGTTTAGAAACACTATATTCCCACAAATGTTCCAAGTCCAACCCCTCTTAAATACTGCTCACTTATCTGACTTATCTGAAGCCAATTTAGCAGTGAACTTTAGTTGACTAAATTCTTTTGTACAGACTTAAGCAATTCATCTTTTGAAATGTCAATTAACGTATGGTCCTGATCTTTTGTGCCTGACAGATAGTGTCATGCCCCTGTCGGAATCTGACTCTGAGGGAGAGGAGGAACAGCTGACAGGGAATGGGAGTGTGGCTCCAGAGGTTGTGGAAGAAACTGGGGAAGAGCACAGACCAGCTGGGCATTCAGAGGAAGACCCAGGCCCATCGTCCTCTTCATCCAAGGACACACGGGACGAGCAGATAAGGGAGAAACGTGAATAGCGTGGTCTATGGGGGAGGAAAGGGCCTTGATCCCCTTCATGATCTGCAGCTGTGAGGATTATTTAAAAGGACAAACTGCACATGGGCCAGTGCTGGAAGCAAAGTGTGAAAATATTTCTGGTCTGTTAGTTCTTATTTGAGTTCTGGCATTCTTCTCAGTGTGTGTATTTCGATATCTGTGGATGTCTTCAAGCCCTTATCCTGCCTTGTCTCATTAATTCTTCAGTGTGGTTTGTGTTGTTTTTTTTCTATTTATAATTTATATGTATTTTGAGTTTGAATGGAAGTTCTTCCTTTTCGCAACTCTTTGTGGGGGAGTTTTTTCTCCAGTCAATGATAATTGGACCTTTAAAGCCAAGTTGAAGGAATCAAAGGGACTTCAACTGTTTTTGTGACTTTGTTATTTTTGTATCCCACCCTGGGTCATCACAGATAGAGACAATAAAAAGCACCCACTTATAGATTTGTAAGGTTTACATTTCACTTTTATATCATATATGTTCTTTTTTTCCAAAATAAAACTTCTTCCCAAACCTTATAGGAGGATGAAGAAAAAACTACCTGTCCAGGTTCCAGTGCTTTTACAGTTCTTTTGACTCTGGGTCAAGGTACAGTTTAAAAAAGAACCCATGACATTATATACATTTCATAAAAAGAAGTAGATAGAATTTCAGTCAAAAATGTTTGTTTATGTACCTTCTAATTATAGGAGCAAAAACAAAAAAGCATGTTAAAAAAATCCCTAATACCATTCTTCAAGAAAAATGTTCAAACTACATGGTTTTCCTGTCTTCATGAATTTAATATTATATATATTAATTCTTGTAGTAAACTGAGCCACCATATTAACAGTTTGCTCTTGTGAGATCATCAAAAGATTAATCTTATGCAAAAAGTCACCAGAGTCCATATAATCAG